ATTTGAAATGCTTTTATGGAATCGTGAGTCGCCGTTTTCTTTGAAACGCGATTTTGAAACGAAAGTACCAATCCGAGTGATTAAAAGTCGCAAACGCGTTTCAATGGTGATCGCTGTGTATTATTAGACGCGGTTGCTCCGGTGAACACTCACTCACTGTCCGGCTTCGTCGGAGCAAGAGCACCATGGAGGAATCGGAGAGCAGGAAACCAGTCGCTCTTTTCATGGCTTTCGGTACCAAAGGCGATGTCTACCCTCTCGCTGTAATCTCTCTCATTCTCTCTCGATTCGGATTTTGGCTTCTTTTAGGGATCGATTTCAAGAGTTTTTGTTTTTTGTAGGCCATTGCCGCAGCTTTCGCTCGTGATCAGAAACAGTACACTGTGGTTTTGATGTCACATTTAGCCCATGAGGTTAGTTTTTGCTTCATTCTCTTAGAGTTCTGGATTTGTAGAAACTATGTTGCTTCCTCCTTCCATCTATTCGAGAAATAAAGATAGAGAGGTTGATTTGTTGCAGAATCTAATCCCCCAAGCGAAAGTTTCCTATTTTCCTATCACTTCTCCTCCTGCGCTGTCTAGTGAAGCTCAGGGTACTCGAGACGTTACAGGTCAATGCTGTTCTCTTACCTTAGCTTCAAGCATTCATCTTTCTTACCTTTTTTTTTCCCTCACTTTGTTCTTTTGTGGGTTTCATTCAGACTCGTCGAGAATTATCTTTTCGGAGGAAAAACAAAGGATTAAAAGGGAACACAGACAAGACTGTCATTCTGCATTCAGAAGCATTTTTGGAAAGGGTCCTTGTATGGAGGGTGATCTCGTTGTCATTAATTTCTTTGCATTGGTACTTCTACTTAATACTTTCCATTGTACCATGATTGTGTCTGCTTTAGCTCTATGAATGACAACAGATTGGCTTCATGTAGCTTGAGTTTCAGCAACAAAAACTGAATTCTGAATGGTGGTTACGACTTTGTGATGAGAAAGACTAACACTGGTTATTCTGATTGTACATTTAGGAAGGATGGAGCCTAGCAGAGCTTTTTGAAATCCGTTGTGTGGTGGCTGCTCCTTATGTTGTTCCGTATAGGTAAACTTTGTAGCCTGGAAGTATGAGTGTGACATCCTCGATGTGGAAGATAACCAATTCAGTTCTTTTTTTTTTTTAATTCCAGTCCACCATCAGGCTTTGAAAGACAGTTTAGGAAGGAGCTTCCGGATTTGTACAAGTACTTGAAAGAAGCCCCCACCGGCAAGGTATTCCATATGATTGCGATACAAACATGCCATCGGTGTTATTTTCTTCTGAGCTTTTCTAACTTATATGGTTTTGCAGGTTAGCTGGAGTGATGTAACTCATTGGATGTGGCCTCTTTTTACTGAAGAATGGGGATCATGGCGATACGAGGAACTCAACCTAAGTTGTTACCCTTTTGCAGTAAGTGTTTTTTAAACATAGAGACCTAGAAGGATATATTTTATTGCCAGAAATGATCGTGCGAATTTGTCACCTGATCTACCCATTGGGTGCAGGATCCAGTAACAGACCTTCCAATTTGGCATATCCGGCCCCCATCTCCATTGATCTTGTGAGTTTTGAATTCTCTTGGTGGTAACATCTGTTCACTCTTCAATCTCTCTTCCCATCAAGATTTTATCTTCGTATACCAAGTATTTTCTAGGTACTTGATCCATCTAATGTACTTTTTCGTTTTAAGTCCAACACTGGCTGATCTCTGATTAAATTTTACGCACTTTTTAACTTTTAGTAATTTAGTTGCAATATTATCCTCTATATATTAATAGAGGAGACAATAGGTGAAAATCCTGTCATCATAAGAGGGTTTTAAGGAATTCATTTCCTAATAAAAATTCTTAATAACAAATATATGGAAATAACGAATATGTGGTAATTAATATAGATAATTTTATTTAAGGAATATATAAATTATTTGAAAATATCTTATATTCTTTGCAATAATACTAGATTTTTTTATCCGAGTCAAAAGCGGTATTAAAATATTCAAAAACAAAAAATTCATGATTATTTTTAATAGATGAGAAAAATGAAAAATAACAAAGATAAAATATATTTATTTTTGATCAAAATTTAACTTTATTATATGTATGCACAATACATATCATTTTTGTGTGTTTATAAATGTTAGAATACACGTCTAAATATTAAATTCGATTAAAAACATATTTAATTATTTAATCCCACGCTTGGCGTGGGTCAAAATCTAGTACTGATATTAATTTAAAAACCAGACAAGATTGCATAAGTTTGTTGGTGACATGTTACTTATTTTCCTTGTGACAGATATGGTTTCAGCAAAGAAATTGTCGAATGCCCTGGTATGTCAGATGTTTGCCACTTCTAATGAAATACTTTTCTGTGCATAGCTAGCATCCTCATTATAAAAAAGTTACCTGGGTAGTAGTTTCTTTCTTCTTTCTTTTGGGTATGTTTTGTAACTATATTCTACCATTTATGAACTCTTGCGAAAGTATGTGATGTGAACTTCATATCAGAAAAGAAAAAGGTTAACAAACAGACCCAATTTTATAAGAATGACTATAAAGGATGAGAGCAATCATCATTGACCTGGCAAAGCTTCGTTCTTTTCAGTTCACTGCATTCATTTTGTCTTATGAACAGATTACTGGCCATCGAGTGTTCGAGTCTGTGGTTTTTGGTTTCTGCCGAATGAGTGGCAGTTTTCATGCAACAAGTGTGGAGACAATCCTTCTGCAGGGCGTCTGGGAACAGACGATTTCCATACATGCTCAAACCACAATGAGTTGTATACTTTTATATCGTCTTTTGAACCAGCCCTGCCTATCTTTGTAGGGTTGAGTTCTGTTGGAAGGTCTAAATTCAAGTTGATTTGTCTGAATCATTTCTGATATGTTTATTGTGTCAGAAGAACACTGATAACTATTCAGTCAGATACTTAACCCATGCAGAACTAGATTCTGTTTCACTGTGTACGGCAGTAATTGTTCTTTTTGCTTTTGCAGCATGGGTTTTGTAAGGAATCCCCTAGCCTTTCTTCGAGTCCTTCAGTCTGTTATCCAGATTACAGGTTACAGATTTATCATTTTCACAGCGGGTTATGAACCTTTAGATGCAGCAATTTGGACCATTGCTAATGAATTGGGATCAAGTGAGAAACAATCATTACATGCGGGAATCTCTATCTTCAACGGCAAGCTTTTCTGCTTCTCTGGGTGAGCACAAACTATGATTTTTTCACCTCAAAAATAAAAGAGAACTATATTTGACCATGGATACCTAAATTACCCTGTGGCCCTATAACCTACTTTTTTCTTTGTTACCCTGAATTAGTATGGTGCCATACAATTGGCTGTTTCGAAGATGCTCTGCTGCAATTCATCATGGTGGCAGGTGAAATTTGAAGCTGGATGCCCTTTCCTGGTGAACATGGACAC